CCCCAAAACCCCAAAACCCCAAAACCCCACTCTTTACAATCACTGCAGCTTTAGAATAAATTAATTGCTCATTTAATTACGTATTTCTGACCATCTCATTGGTTTGATATTTCATTTAGTTATTAGACTTTTTCATAGATTTTCTTTTCAATTAGCTTAGCATTTATAAATGCCTATTAGAATCCTTTGATCTCATCTTAAAGCTCTTATTTGAACGTCTCAGTGTATTTACTCTTAACATAACTAGCATAGAATATAAGTTTTTACTTTCCTTAACTGATGAGTTTTATCAAACCTTTTAATGTAGATCTCCTACCCTTCTAAGTATCTTTGATCCTTTCCAATTCTTCCTTAAACTCATTTTCAGTGTGATTTAAGAGATCATATATTCTGAATATACCCTCAAGCAGATCTATTTTAGTTTCAGAGATTCTGCCTATGTCCTCAATTAAAATAGGCAAGTAATCTTTGACAATCTACATAGTATTTCCCATTTATGGGCACAGTATAGTTTTGAGAACCTGAGAAAAGCCAGACTCAACATCAGTCACGAGCTTTTAAGCATCAATAGACAAAAGCAAAGTCAAAAGCTAGTTGCATATCATATCAGCATCATTTGATAACAAATCTCCATTATATCTCCTATAGAAAAATACGAATGATAAGATATTAGCCAAAAGCAAGTATTTAACTGTGAGAGAGGGCTCTTTGCTCTTTAGCAAATATTTGAGTTAAGGGATCTGAGAATATCTCCTCAAAATCACTTCATATTTAGTCTTCAGTCTTTGATACTATTTCTCTTCACTCTCCAAATCAATTATCTCAACGTCCTCATAGTCTTAATCCTAGGTCTCCTCATTATTAGCCTCTAAGCCCTCGTCTTATTTTGATGACTATTAATATTATCCCCTGATTCTGAACTCATTGAGACTATTCAGGTTAATAGCATGATCTTATTCTGAGGAACTCATTTCATTATCATAATCTTTGTTTACTTCTATTATATCAATATTTGAGGGTTTTAGTTAAGTTGTAATTTCCCACCAGGGAATAACCTCTTCGTCAAAGGTTTGTTAGTTCTCTTTGATAAACTCTCCAAAAATTTTCTGCTCCTCTAAAGTCAATTAATCAAGGTCCTTTAATAAATCCTAATCTATTTGTTCTAAAAGTTGAAGAGCTCTTTTCTTAGTAATAACTTAGTCATCTATAGATTTATCTATAAATGTTGTTAATTACTTTATTTGGTATTTTCTTCGTTCTCTTATTCCTCCTAATCATCTTTGAAATCCTTCAGAAGCATATCTTTCATTTTCTAGATTTGCTTTGGATCTCTTACTTTGTCAGACTTCATCTTTTCCTCAATATTCTTCTAGTAGAATTCCTCAGTACAATCTTTATTGTGACTCTAAAATCCACAATTAGTCCTCTATAAAATTTTATACCTTATAACAATTAATTGAGCAGTATTGAATTTCACACTTGGGGCACTTATACTTTTACTAATTTTGCTTGCACCTATATAAATTAGTAAAAAGCGATTTATAGCCTTACACTGAACAATTAGTTTAATCACTGCTGATTTATTTTGATTAAGTGTCAAGCTTTAGTGCTGGTTTGATCTATTATTGTTGAACCAAATCCGCTGGGTTATATTAAGTCTTACCTGCACTAGAGAGATTTTCTACTATTTCCTTCGTAGTCTAAGGATACTTAGCCAGTGCCTCTTTTAGCTCTTCTTGTTCTCTGTTTTGCTAGATCTCTTTTAAAAACTCTAATAACATATTTATTATACTAATTATAATTAACTTAAATTATCATTAATTTGTATTTAATCAAATTTACCATTAATTAAAATAGAAGGGGTTTTGGGGTTTTGGGG